TCCGACACTCCGTGTGTCGATAATGCAAAATAACTGGGATACACCTTATTTAGAATATGCTTGGGTAGCGAAGTACGGGTAGACTGCATTGATGGGTAGAAGCGGTGGGTGGTTAACGATGGGTAGAGTACATTGTTACAGATGTTTTATCTATATTACGACGCATCATCTCTTGGCATTATAGAGATTGGAGAAACGTATAGAATATATCATAGCTTCTGTATTTCTACTGACACTCGCCGTGATTTGGGAAACATTTGGCTAGACATCACGATGTTGTAGATATCACAATAATCAAGGTATCGCCAACATGTTCCCGATATCACAATGTTGCAGATATTAAACATATTCCAGATATTCAATATGTTCCAGATAACACAATGTTGCAGATATTAAACATATTCCAGATTCACAATGTTGCAGATATTCAATATGTTCCAGATATCACAATGTTGCAGTTATTCAACACGTTTCAGATATCACAATGTTGCAGATATTCCACATGTTGTAGATATCAAATTGTTGCAGATATTCAACATGTTCCAGATATCACAATGTTCCAGATATTAAACATGTTCCAGATATTCCACATGCTCCAGATATCACAATGTTGCAGATATTCAACATGTTCCAGATATCACAATGTTCCAGATATTCAATATGTTCCAGATATCTCAATATTGCAGATATTCAACATGTTCCACATATCACAATGTTACAGATATCACAATGTTGCAGATATTCAACATGCTCCAGATATCACAGTGTTGAAGATATTCAACATGTTCTAGATTTTACAATGTTGCAGATATTCAACATGTTCTAGATATATGCAACGTGTTCCAGATATATTCAACATGTTTCAGGTGACACAATGTTCCAGACATCACTATATTCCAAATATCCCAATGTATTCAACATTTTCCACATATCACAAATTTACAGATATATTCAACATCGTATAGATATGACAGTATTCCAGATTATTAGACATGTTTCAGACATCACAATGCTACAGGTATATTCAACGTGTTCTATATATCAAACTGTACCAGTTTATTCAACGTGTTCCAGACACTATCATTCGTCATTCTCGCTGTATATGGAGATATCATAATTGTTCCATTGTTCGAATAAGGAAGACAGACACCAAACAAAAATTCCCTTGCCATTAAATATTCACGAGGTATATTGACAAGTGGTATGTATGGTTCAAATACTATTATGTCAATTTGTCATTAGATTTCTGATATATAAGTGGCCGTTATGGAATATGTTCCATGGTAACTCGTTAACATGAGAGAGTATGGTTTTACGCCTCTTTTAGCAATATTCCAGCAATATTACGGTGGGGGACGCCAGCAATGGGCTTCACACATTGTACCCATGAGGAAAATCGAACCCGGGTCTTGACGAGAGAACGCTTTAACCACTAGGCTACCCCCCGTTAACATGAACCTTATTTTAGGAAAATATAATTTCACAAACTTATGGTTAAGGGGAATCGTACATAAGGTTACATTCGGCTTACATAACAAAAAACATAAATAATAAGAAGGTGATGATTTTTGGAACACTGACGACACAGTGATTTTGTCGAGAGATGTTTGTTACCCTATTGTAATAAACATGTTGTCTTAAACGCAACTACGATGTTGTTTGTAGGGCTGTGACTGTTACACTCATTGCCTGACATTTAAGATTATTAATTTTAAGCAAAATTATTTTCGGGCAATAACATTTCTATGCGTACCGTCTTGATAAACGAGGTTCGACTTCAGAAAAACGCATCAGCACTCAGTCGTCGCTGAATTGTTTTCCTAAGCTGGAACTAATTTGACTCAGAATCTATGGAGCATACCAAAAACAAAAACTAACACTAACATTGACAGGTTCATCTTATTTTCATTACCGTACATAATATCGAGAGAATATTATTATCACAAAGTGTCGTTCTGGTAGATGTTAATTGCTTATCTTTGGACAGATTCCATGTTTCATGATGGATAACTCTGTCAACATGATCACAGAATGCCACTTCTTCACCACTGTGTAAAACCGGCATTGTTAGTGAGGCTTGTACGCAGATGCAAAGCACAGTCACTCTTATCGCGACGGATGGTGGCAAAGTGGTAGAAGCTAATGCTCGCTTGTACAATGTTACAACTGGACATTTTACAATTTGAAACTTTCTGTTGTATGTTCTGTTGACCATTCCTACTTATCCACTCACCCAGTCGCCCACTTCTCGACCATTTCTTCTTATCCACTCACCCAGTCGCCCACTTACTACTCGACTATTCCTACTTATCCACTCACCCAGTCGCCCACTTACTACTCGACCATTCCTACTTATCCACTCACCCATTCGCCCACTAACTTCTTGACCATTGCTACTTATCCACTCACCCAGTCGCCAACTTACTTCTCCACCATTCCTACTTATCCACGCACCCATTCGCTCACTTACCACTCGACCGTTCCTACTTATCCACTCACCCATTCCCCCACTTACACCGAGCATAGTATCCTTTACAGTTTACAATCTGTTGTTCTGTTCCCTCCAAGATATTGAGTTGTTTGAACCTAATACAGAGCTCAATAACTAAGCCACCGTTTGCTGCATATTAGGTTTCTAGTATACGTGCGTTGGCGTATTCGACAGTATGGGAAGGCAAAACTGAAATTAACACTTGTGATGAATGAAACTGGTCTTCATATTACCGGTAAATGATCATCCCTCACGTAATTTAGAGCCCGCCTCCCTGGTCTAGAGCTAGGTCCGGGGTTTGATCCCCGGTCGCGTCATACCAAAAGATGTTAAAAGATTTTACCTGTCGTTACTCTGCCTGGCGATTGGCATTAATGGGCTCAAACATGGACTGGTTGGTGCGGAGTCAGTATGCTGTGTCTGAGTGTGGTATTCATGTTAAACTGTGCCATAGTACAAGCAGACACACACACGTGTATGCACGTCTTTATATAAGTACAATAATCTTGGACGCGACATTAAACCCCATTTCACCTCACCTCACCTCACATCACCACGTAATTTAGATCAAATTTACAGTAACACGATGAAGGTGGTTACAATGGGTACGAGCATGACACGTCTCTACACAAAATACACACACGGTTCTTAATCCACCTGTAACCAAGGCGAGATGTGCTAGTGTATAATTATGAAATATAAAACGTCAAAGCAAGAGAATAAATAACCAGTCTCGATTATCCGCCGAAACAGATTTCAACGCAAAATGGCGGTGAAAATCATATGAAACGATCACTGAAAATCATTGATGACACCATGTGTTCGCGAAAAGGGTAGACGCGTGTTAACTGAAGTAACTAATAAGGTGAATATATGCAGTATGTAATATTCTAGCAATATCATGGCAACATGTAGTTGTAAAGTGTCGTTCCAGCAAATCTAAATGAGCAACGGGTTACATACAGTCAGCCAAGTCATACATTGTGACCAACAAATCCCCAAGAAGGGGGGAACTAACAATACACATTTCAGAGAGCGCAGAACCTACGTAGGTAGTACAGCCTATGACTGGCGATCGCTGACTAGTAAGGGGATGGCATTTAACCCGTCAATATGTACTGCCTAGATCAGGCTTAAGTAGCAGTGACATCCCACAGGGCCAACTGCTCATCTCTATGAAGGGCACTGTATTAATGAGGCGATACGGTGTCCCAGTTGTGCAAGGCACCGCAATTCACCCCCAAAGAGTTGTGTCCCTTTGACATGCCAGAATCCTATGATCATGGGTTTGAATTTCCAGATTTGCTTGATTATGATTGTAAATTTATAAGCACCATAACCGTGGGTTTCATCAAAGCCTTAAAAAACAAAATCTGCAAACGTTCTGGCTTTTCTCCAACATGAGGCCGACACACCATGATGGAACTGAAACACAAAAGGATGTTCAACCAAAGTCAATCACTCCTGTTTGTTATAATTTCACATGGTATCATACACGGAGGTGAATAGGTCTATTAAGGACATTGAAGTAGACTCCAGATCGTCCATGCACCCCATGTTCCTGTAGACAAATATTGTACATATGGGTACTTGCAGACTGGTTGTAAAAGACTAAGTCACCATACTTATCTGACTGTATCGACACAGCATCACATGCCAAACTGTGAAGACAAACGTGCGATCCCTTGATTAATACGCTGATATTAGAAATAGGTAAGTGGGAAATTGAGAACCGATTTCTTGTCTCTTTTTAACCAAATTTCTTCATGTATTTTTTACATGAGATAATTAAAACTGGTTGTTGAATATCCTTTTAAAGATTTAAAAAAACAGAAAGATGAAATTGAAAAATTTCATGCATGGTGTTCTTGGTGAGACTTAACCTAATCATACCTTGCATGTCGGAGTGCATTGACGTCAAGATGTCAATCGCATTAAGCCACAATATATTGCATAATTATAGAACACTTGCATACCCATGCGCCTACCAACGTGTTCCTCATTAAGGTGTTAGTGCCGGCTTACCCTTTTCGCGAACACCTGGTGTCATTACTGATTTTCAGTGATCAATTCATATAATTTTCACCGCTATTTTCCGTTTACCTTCTATAGTATCAGTTTCGGTAGATATATGAGACTGATTGTTCTAGCGTTAACGTTTTGAATATGATTATGTAAATGTTTTTTTTTCGAATAGAAATACACTATTGTTATAATTCTTTACGGGATACCACTCTTGGAACCTCTTTTGTCCGTTGGTAAATACACACGAGATGAAGTGAATCTCTTTACGCCCCGCATTAGTTTCAGTCTGGAGCAGTAGTTCAGTCATATTGTGGCTTGTCTCATATGACGACCAGTGTGCCTATCAAAGTGCATTAATTTACAATACAAGTACAATGCATTACGTACATAGCTCTTTTATACAATTAAACTACAGCAGACTTAGGGTAGAACGAACCATTAGCCTCAAATACACCATGCTCATGAACGTTAATGCTTGTTACAGATGCTTGGATATTGGGAATAGGTGATCAGCCATCTTTAAGTCCGACCTAACTTATGCAAGTTGTTGAACAGGAGACAACGCTATATTTATTATCGATGAAAATGGTCGTCCAAGGATTGTCATGGTAAGTCTACAATTTATGTACTCATGTACATTTCTCTAAACGAACACTCCGTTGTGATTCTTGGTCAAAACAGGAAAGCATCTTATGATTTGCATATACGAACCCACTAAAAAGAGGATCAGATGGTCACAATGTGTGACCGCGCTTATTATGTGCCATTACACCCCGGTGTTGTCGGACGTGGCTCGTGATGTCAACCACTTGTTTGTTAAGGCCGTATTTACAGACGGTCGTGGGATAAGCCCACTGAGATACCATGACGCAGTTTAACAAGATTATCTCCTCAGACACAGTATAATGACTCCGAGCCGCCCAGTCTTTTTTAGCCCCTTTATGCCAAGCGCCAGGCGGGGTAACATCACGTATCTTTTAACGACTTTTGGTATGACGCGGCCGGGTATAAAACCCCCGATCTTCCGCTCTACGGGCAGACGCTCTACCACTATACCACGGAGGCGGACGGAACCTCGTGATAAACTTGAATGATGCTCACTTAAAACAACATTCTCCCACTCAGTAGACTGGCATATGCATCCAGCAGGTACTAACGATGCATGAGAGATGTGATTATTATCCATCTATCACGTGATACTGGGTATAAAACTCACCCTTCTTTTGATCTTCATGAATTAGATATTTAACTGACCATTACCACGAATGCCTGTTCATGTTGACCACTTGATCAATACCTGTACAGTCATATTGCCTCGTCCAGCCTTGATTGATTGTCCCAATTAGATCGGTGTCTGGTCGCCCTGCGCCGATGCGGAATCTGGGTGTTTTGAGCATAAGGTATCTACGAACCTCAGTCTGATCGTTACAGTGGCCATGTTCATGGATCTGTCTTGCTGCGTTGTCGTATGCATAATAACCATGTGGCTTTGATTGACTATTGCTACCTGAAATAAGATGCCAGGGACTTCTGCACTTATCAATTGCATAACAGCCAAATACCACCGGCATGTAGCAGACGATTACGAGGAGACGAAAAGTTGACACTGCACTCTTGCGCATGCTCCACGTGCATGGAGCAGACGACATGTGGCATCTGCCAGAAGACATCGCAGTTATGTCTTATGCGAGAGGTCAACGAGATTTCAGCGAGATCGACTACTATTTATAACGGGAAGACCGTTTGATTGTTTACATTTGTCGGAATCCTTCGCGAGCACAGAACATCTTGTTTTGGCCACTTGGATACATTGTAAAGACGTTCTAGGTAAGACTTATATTGGAACAGCCCTTCCGGGATATTTCACGGGCCATTTCAGGATTGTATATTGATAGCGATGTTTAAGGAATTCTCTCTCAGATGCACCCTGTCATCAGTTTTATTGAGTGACCCAATGCATGTTGTAGGTGAAATATTGTGCTTATTTCAAATAGGCCTAAAGCGAAAACACACGACAACGCTATACTATTGAGAACTATTGATTCGTGATTGTACATAAATATATAATCTGCGTTCGTAAATCTTTTAATATATTACATTTATGAATCATAATCCCAGAATTTAATGCACACGTTAGCAACTTACTTCATCTTTCATTTTGGGAAAATATATTATGGATCTGTTATCAATTCATCTCCGTTTATTGATTTATGTAACTATACATCAAAAACGAAAGTTCAACATGAATATTTTACTTAATCGCGCAGGATTTGTGAACTATTCTTCTTATTCATGTCATATTTCGCAAATTCCATATCCTCCTCAGCAAATTACAAATTAACACAATAATTGATTAACTGTTAACATTTTCTTGCCCGACTATTTCAGAGTATTTGCTCTTGCAGAGCTGCGGATCCTGTATATTAGCTTAGGATTACGTTACAAATTATTATAGCTCCACATATTCAAGTATATGTTTTGATTTGTGTTTGAAACGGACATGTTTAACAGACCCATACAGGGCCCCGTCACACAAAGTGATTTTAACGCTAAGATGGCCGTTACTCCCATTCTTAAACATAGAATTTCGACAATCGTAGCCCTATGACCGCTTTGTTGAACGGGCCCAGAACTTTACGATTTACGATTTTCTCTATTATCTAAAATGTAGATATAAAACAATCGTTCATCATTAAAAAAAACAATAAGCTATCAACCACCGTTGATGCCGTGCCATAAGAGACGTATGACGTCATCGGAGTTCCGGTTGTTGCGTCACGTGATAGTCTGGTACATCTAATGATGGTCAATACAATGGCCTATCTCTTACATTATCGCATGGTAAGGTCCTATTAATTATACAAGCTTCACTTTGTGTCTATAGAATCACGGATAAGCTTGGCGTCGTTGCATGCGACAGTTTGTAATGGATACCATAAGTGTATCCTAATACAATCTTATCCCTCTCGGTCTACTTAGGCAATGAGTTGGCAAATGATAACATTCGTCTTATGGTAACATTGTAAATATCGGCCATAGCGTGGAGTTGGGTTTAACGCCGCTTTTAACAGTATTCCAGTTATATCCCACGTGTCAGCTAAATGTGGGAGGAAAGCCCGAAGTGATGCAGGTCAGACGTTTAATACTTTGATGAAAGCCACGAGCATGGGCATGGTGCTAACAAACCGAGAAACACAATCGGATCCAATCAAGATTCGAACCCACGATCATTGGTTTCTGGCGCGCTAAAGGGACGCAACTCTGCATAGGACTGCAGGTAAAACCACATTATCGTGGGATCCATCTGTTTGGCACCCCAATTCCCCGAAGCACGTATTGGTAACTGTTTTACATAATCGTTCAGCTGGTTTGGTTCGAATTCCAGATCCTCCCTGATTATGACCAGGTATATCAGCGCCATACCGGTTAATGGCAAAGATTTGGCTTCTCAGGATTACACGTCGTAATGTAACTAATATGATGTCCACTCGTTACACTGATTTTCCTTGGTCGATTCTCCAAATTCGCGAAGCCTATTCTGGATAATTGTCTTGGTGTTACTGCAATAGAACTAAACGCTGTATAAATACCAATACCTATATGAACTTGTGAGGTATTGTTAGTAAAACGTTCTCATCTCTGTTTTTAAAGCACAGTATGTGATAGATGCTATCTGGAATCCTTGATATAGTATACAGTTAAAACACAACATTGCCTTGTATACGTAGATGTATTACAAGGGACAGGCATTCTGCATTACTGAATTTTGATGCTGATTTAGTTGATGCGATTTGCAGCCATCTATGTTTTGTTTGTTTGTTTGCTTGTTTGTTTGTTAGTGTTTTTGTTTGTTTGTTTGATTGATTATATATTGTTTAACGCCACACTAAGCAATATTCCAGCTGCATGACGGGGGTCTGTAAATAATCGAGTCTGGACCAGACATTCCAGTGATTGATATCACGAGCATCGATCTATACGGAATTGGTATACGATGACACGCATCAACCGAGTCACCGAGCCTGACCACCCGATCCCATTGGTCGCCTCTTCCGACAAGCATAGTCGCCCGTGCCGCCATCCATGTACAAACATGGTAGTTTATATGACAACGGAGAATGCATTAGATACACAAATGGGGCCTAAAGCATCTTTGATAACGGTAAACATGTTCGTGGCTCTTTTCTCATGGATTCATCTCTTCTAATGTCTTCCAACAACCGACATTAATTGCTGAGCAGGACTTGTGCATTCAACTGTGACGGCATTTTGTCGACGCCGTGGACATTTTAGCTTCTCCGCTCATTACGCATTTCCGGAAATGGTGCATTATGGGCGGAGAGGTCGCCGTGCCATTGTCCCACTGCAGTGTCTTTCAAACAGGGGGTAATCAATCAATCGATAAAGAGAGGTGATCGATCACCTGATGGGTCTACCCTTAAAATCCCCCAGGCACAATCCGATTGTGGCTAATGCGATCACGGATGATTATGTCATCGTCAGCGGTACATAGATGGAATTTGCGTCGATCCCCACTGACATGAACTTTGGGTTGGGATAACGCCAAGGACATTTAGTGGTCCCGCTGCCTCATTAAAGAGCTGATTGACTTAATGGTTCGACCATAAACCCCACTCAGTTGTAACGTAAGCTGTTACGTTCGTTGATGTATCAGGCCCCTCCAAAGGTGGTGATCTTCAGGGCTGTCGTCAGCAAAGCCTCTGGTTTTGTATGCTTTAACCCCACCTTCATACTGTGACGCTATCCGCCTGTACTTGATGCAGAAGGGTGATTTAAGCTTTATAATTGTGCGTATCCTTAATGGGAGAGCGGAAATCATTTAAATCTGTTTGCTGACGTTTGTTGCAAGCCGAAATCAATTCTGACATCCCAGTATACGAGTCTGTGTAAATGCTGAAGGATCTCGCGAGATATGCACGAGATCCCAGCGAAAATACAATCGATGACAACCACGTCTATCATCAAAAGTACCACCGTTGCCACAACAAACGTACAATGAGAGTTTTTCATCCATATCAACTTTTTAACTTAGAAGCCATCTGTACATGCGATCCCTATGTCCCTATGCTGACTGTACATGTGCAATGTGATCCCTCGCAGAACCATGTCCAATACCCCGACTGTACGTGTGATATGTGATCCCCCGCACAACGGTGTCCCATACGTACAAGTACATGGTTAGATGTGATCCCTCGCAGAACCGTGTCCATTTCCCCGACTGTACGTGTGATATGTGATCCCTCGCAGAACCATGTCCAATACCCCGACTGTACGTGTGATATGTGATCCCCCGCACAACGGTGTCCCATACGTACAAGTACATGGTTAGATGTGATCCCTCGCAGAACCGTGTCCAATACCCCGACTGTGCGTGTCACACGTGATCCCTCGCACAACGGTGTCCACACCCGTACATGGTTAGATGTGATCTCTCGCAGAACCATGTCCCATACACCGTCTGATCACGTGAAATGTGACGTCAAGATGCATGGGCTGTGATCAATCGAAGCATCATGTCCCATGGATACAGTTACCTGGTGAGATGTGATCCCTCGCAGCACCATATCTCACACGCCAACTGTACTTT